TGTACCTTCTGATAGGAATGGTCTTTTCACTTTCCTGTTTATTAGCCTCTTCTCATCCTTCATAATTTACCACAAATACCATTTTTTCAGGGAATTCTAGGTTTGGAATCCCTGTTACTATACAGTGTCATTATCCTCTGTATTTTCCTTATAACTTTTCTTATACCTGTGAATAAATTGTCTAACTTAGCATTATATCCCAGTACGTAGCAAATAATAAAGGCTCATTAAATACTTGAGTAAATTAATATCGTTGTACCAGTACTTTTTTCTGCATCCATAGACTACTTTGTGAGGGTAATGTCCTTGACTGTTTTGGTCTCCATTATTTTTCCAGTATGTAACACACACACACACACACACACACACACACACACACACACACACACACACGTACATTATACACAAATGTTTATTGACTTAATATGGTAAGTTTTGTCATTATTTGTTTAATGCCTTTCCTTCCCTTAGACCATAAAGTGATCATGTCTGTCCTGTACACCCATCTCCAGTGCTTTAAATAGTTCTTGACATTAAAGGGAGTATTTGAGAATGGTTTTATTTATTTATTACTATTATTTTTTAAATTTACATCCAAACTAGTTACCATATAGTGCAACAATGATTTCAGGAGTAGATTCCTTAATGCCCCTACCAATTTAGTCCATCCCCCCTCCCACAACTCCTCCAGTAACCCTCTGTTTATTCTCCATATTTAAGAGTCTCTTATGTTTTGTCCCCCTCCCTGTTTTTATATTATTTTTGCTTCCCTTCCCTTGTGTTCATCTGTTCCGTGTCTAAAAGTCCTCATATGAGTGAAGTCATGTGATATTTGTCTTTCTCTGACTGACTAATTTCACTTAGCATAATACCCTCCAGTTCCATCCACATAGTTGCAAATGGCAACATTTCATTCTTTTTGATTGCCAAGTAATAGTCCGTTGTATATATATATACAACATCTTTATCCATTCATCCATCGATGGACATTTGGGCTCTTTCCATACTTTGGCTATTGTTGATAGTGCTGCTGTAAACATGGGGGTGCATGTATCCCTTCAAAACAGTATACCTGCATCCCTTGGATAAATGCCTAGTAGTGCAATTGCTGGGTCATAGGGTAGTTCTATTTTTAACTTTTGAGAAACCTCCAGACTGTTTTCCAGAGTGGCTGCACCAGTTTGCATTCCCACCAGCAGCGCAAAAGAGATCCTCTTTCTCCGCATCCTCGCCAACATCTGTTGTTGCCTGAGTTGTTAATGTTAGGCATTCTGACAGGTGTAAGGTGGTATCTCATTGTGGGTTTGGTTTGTATTTCTCTGTTGATGAGTGATGTTGAGCATTTTTTCATGTGTTGGTTGGCCATCTGGATGTCTTTGGAGAAGTGTCTATTCATGTCTTTTGCCCATTTCTTCACTGGATTATTTGTTTTTTGGGTGTTGAGTTTGATAAGTTCTTTATAGATTTTGGATACTAACCCTTTATCTGATATGTTGTTTGCAAATATCTTCTCCCATTCCATCAGTTGCCTTTTAGTTTTGTTGATTGTTTCTTTCACTGTGCAGAAGCTTTTTATTTTGATGAGGTCCCAATAGTTCATTTTTGCTTTTGTTTCCCTTGCCTCCAGAGATGTGTTGAGTAAGAAGTTGCTGCGGCCAAGGTCAAAGAGGTTTTTGCCTGCTTTCTCCTCGAGGATTTTGATGGCTTCCTGTCTTACATTTAGGTCATTCATCCATTTTGAGTTTATTTTTGTGTATGATATAAGAAAGTGGTTCAGGTTCATTGCTCTGCATGTTGCTGTCCAGTTTTCCCAGCACCACTTGCTGAAGAGACTGTCTTTATTCCATTAGGTATTCTTTCCTGCTTTGTCAAAGATTAGCTGGTCATACATTTGTCGGTCCATTTCTGGGTTTTCTATTCTGCTCCATTGATCTGAGTGTCTGTTTTTGTGCCAGATAATAATCTGTATTTTTAAACTTAATCTGGCTATGGCTACCTTTTATTTTTATTTTTTAAGTTGTTTTCAATGTTTGTTTATTTTTGAGAGGGAGTGCGAGGGCACAAGCAAGGGATGGGCAGAGAGAGAGGGAGAGAAAGGATCTGAAGCAGGCTCTGCGCTGACAACAGAGAGCTTGATGTGGGGCTGGAACCCACGAACTGAACCGTGAGCTCATGACCTAAGCTGAAGTCAGACACTTAACCAACTGAGCCACCCAGGCACTCCTTGGCTACCTTTTAATAAACACACATACAACCCATTCATATTTATCATAACTGCTAATATATTGGAATTTATTTCTGACATCTTATTTTGTGTTGCCTGTGTCCTTGCTTTTGTTTTTTTCCCATTTCTGTTTTATATTGAAAACATTTTCTTCAATTATTTTCCCTTTAAAAGTTAAAAAATGTTAAATATCTTTTTGGTTTTCTATTATTGCACTTAAGTTTTTAATGCAAATGTTTAATTTTGTGCATATATATATTTACTTTTATATATCATATAAAATCACATATATATCATATATATGTATATATATATATGATATATAAATGTATTTTTTTCCAACATGTTATAACAAGACAGGAACCTCAGAAAGATTTTACTTTTTTCTGCTTTCTTCCCTGCTACCTTCTTTATGAGAAGATTTGAGATATTGCTGTTCAGTTACTGTTTGTAATAATCAGAACTTAGGTTTTACTAGTTTATTTTTTTTAACTTGCTCCTGCTTCTTTTATCTCAGTTTCTACTGGGTGATCTGTTTATTTACTTTGAATATATTATATTTTGAGGGGAAAATAACTTCCCTAAGAATTCTTTTAGATAAGATTTGGGAGTGGTATACTTTCTACAGTGTTATATATCAGAAAACATTTCTTGTGCCCTTTTGTGTGATTAGTTTGGCTGGGTATGAATCCTGTTTCCCAGTCATTTTCCCTCAGAATTTCTTCCTTTTTTTTTTTTTAATGTTTCTTTATTTATTTTTGAGAGCAAGCGAGAGAAAGAGGGAAGCCCAAGAGGCCCTGCGCTGTCAGCACAGACCCCACACAGGGCTCTGTCTCACAGACTGCGAGATGAGCAGAAATCAAGAGTTGGAGGCTTACTGACTGAGCCACCCAGGCGCCCCCTCATTATTTATTTATTTATTTGTTTGTTTATTTATTTATTTATTTATAAGGGGGAGTGGGAGGGACAGAGAGAGAGAGTGAGAGGGAATCCCAAGCAGGCTCTGCCCTGTCAGTGTGGATCCGATTGTGGGGCTTGAACTCATGAACCATGAGATCATGACCTGAGTTGAAACCAAGTCGGATGCTTAACCAAGTGCGCCACCCAGATGCCCCAACCCCTCAGAATTTCAAAGAGTTTGTTTAAATGTTTCTAATGAGATGTCTGATTCATTAGGGCATATTAGGATTTTGTTTTTCTATTTCTCTATTTTCTATTTATGAAATATCCCTATTATATGCCTAGTTTTATCCCCCCATTCATAGTGGCTCTTTTCTTCAACTATTGGTTTCTGCTATTTCTTGGAGAAGTTTCTCTTCTCCACTTTTTCTGCTCTACTTTCTAGATTTCCTGTTGGCTGGATTTGGGAACTTTTGGATTTATCCTCAGTGTCTATTTGTTGGGTTTTTTGGGTGGGGGCGGAGGGATGCTTTTTTTTTGGGGGGGGGGGGCACATTCTCAGAAAATGTCTTGGTTCAATCTTCTAATTGATCACTCTTTAGCTATGTTTATTCTACTGTTTGACACCCTCTGTACTTTGTCCTTTCAGTGTTTAAATTTTTAATTTCCAGGATCCATAGTTGTCTTTTACTGAATACAGTATACTCTCAAATCTCTGAAGATAGACTTTTTTATACTCTGTCTCTGTATTTGCTGCCATGGCTACAGGGTTAGTTCTTCTGATGTTGATTCTAGTATGTCTTCTCAACAATATGGGTTGTTGCAGATCCAGTGAGTCTTGAGAGTTCCCACGAGCCTGTCTGTGAATACAGCATCTTCTTCTAGCAATTGTAGGGAGGGGTAGCACATGCTACCAGGTAGGCTGTACCAGAAGCAGCAGTTCTGAGCTTGGAAGTTTTTCTTTCCTTCTGGGAGTCTCAGCATCCTCCCTCACTGCTGAGAGGTATACTTCTTTGTTGACAAGGAGTGATGGGGATAGGGTGGAGAAAATGCTAGCTGTTCCTCCTGCAGAGCTCAGCCAGTGTTCCTAATGCTTGTTCCAAGGCTTTTTTTGCTCTGGATCCTGTGGCTCCTCTACCCTTGGGATTATTTTGAGAACATTTTTTAGTTTCTGTAACCACTCTTTTGGTGGCGGGGGGGGGGGGGAGGAAGTTATATTCTCATGGTTTTTTCCTTTAATCCATTTGTGTCTGTTTTCCTTCCAGATTTCTCCCTTCCTGATCCCTTAAACTCCTCCCTTGATGGCCATATAGGTTTTCTTAGTATGTTGCTAGGGGTGCCTGGCTCAGTCAGTTAAGCATCCGAGTCTTGGTTTCAGCTCAGTTCGTGATCTCACAGTTCATGAGTTTGAGCCCCACATCAGGCTCTGCACTGAAAGTGCAGAGACTGCTTGGGATTTTCTCTTCTACATGCACTTGCTCGCTCTCTCTGTCTCTCAAAAAATAAACATTAAAATTTTTTTTTCAAATATTATGATACTTGCCAGGGATTTGAAGTGGAAAAGCTATTGTTCACATGCATTGCTCAGAGCAGTGTGTTGATCCAAACTTGTAATCAAGCATTTAGCATATTCTTGTTTAAATGTATCCTCAATGATACAATATATTCAGAGGAAAAAAATAGATGTATCTTAGACTGTGACCCAGATATGGGTATCTCCTAAAACTAATTTTATAAAGGTTTTGAGTATAGTTATGTATTTCACTAAATTCATACATTCCTCTTTATCTATGAAATCATAGAACCATTGTTTTCTGTTACGTGTTATTTTTGCAGCATATGGAGAAAAGCTAACTTCAGTATTTTTTTCTATTAGGTTACCACTGATTCAGTCATTCTAAAAGTTCTGCAGTCCAACATTCAGCATGTGCTGGTCTATGAGAACCTTGCTCTCCAGGAAAAAGCACTGGCTTGTATTCCAGTCCAAGAACTAAAAAGGAGATCTCAAGAAAAGTTATCTAGAGCTAGAAAATTGGATAAAGGTAGTGGCTTTATATAACCGTTCATTGCTAAATATACATCATTGCTAAATAGAAATACTGAAATGATGCCTTTTGCTGTATACATCATAAAATTCTAACCTATTAATATGTTGATGTCTCAAGTTAAAACAGTAGTAAAATTTTATTGCACATACCTTATGGATACATCTATTAACATTTTTTTTTCTTACTTCAGTATGTATTTGCAGTTTAATCATTGGTATGTGAATTTTTTTAGGTATAGTAGAACTTTAATCTGTGGAACATACAGCATTTTTAATAAATTTTAATGTGAATCAGACAGAAAACACATTCAAGGTTAATCTATATGATTAGACCATTGACTCACTTTGGTTAATAAAGAGATAGTATTTACTGATTAAGAGTATGGATCTTGAAGCCAACTGCCTGGGAAGAAATTCAGCTCTGCCACTTTACTGTACATCACTGAGCCAGTAATTTAATCTCTAGGTCTCAATTTCTTCATTTGAAAATTTGATTTTGGGGGCACCTGGGTGGCTCAGTCAGTTGAGCGTCTGACTTTGGCTCAGGTCAAGATCCCACAGTTCTTGGGTTTGAGCCCCACGTCGGGCTCTGTGCTGACCACTTGCTCAGAGCCTGGAGCCTGCTTCGGATTCTGTGTCTCCTTCTCTCTCTGCGCCTCCCCCGCTCACACTTTGTCTCACTCTGTTTCTCAAAAATAAATAAATGTAAAAAAATGTTTTAAAAAAGGTGATTTTTAAAAGTAAATGAGATAGAACAACTAAATGGCTCGGAATGATACCTGCCACACTCATCAACCAATAATTATTTGTTATCATTAATGGTTTTAGAATTTTAGTTATTTTTCCAACATCAGCATTTTTACTTTGGGTTTTTATGTAATTAGCTTTTATCTAAGTCATTTCGTAATACTAAATTTTCTAGGGGATGATGTAATTTTTTTGGTGGTTGCCTTAGTTTCAGTAAACAGTTTTAACTAATCTAAGTCCACCTTCAAAAACACTATTCTTCGTCATGTATAGTGCAGATACCTCTTAAAAGAATTGTCCCAATTCTTCCCTCCCGTCCTTATGACATTGCTGTCATATACTGCAATCACCTAATAATACATCGCTGTTGTTGTTAAACAAGTTACTTTTTAGGCCACAGATAAGAAAAACACAAGATTCTCTTTTACTTTCATGTATTCCTTTTCTGACACTTTCTTTCTCTAGATCTGAGTTTCTGACCTTTACCTTTTTCCTTCTTCCTGAAGAACTTCTTTTTAATATTTCTTTCAGGGCAGCTCTGTCAGAGGTGATTCCCTCACTTTTTCATTGCCTGAGAAAGCCTTTATTTTTTTCTTCCCGCTTGAAGGATAGTATCACTGGGATATAGAATTCTAGGTTGGTGAGGCTTTTCTTTCAACAACACTTTATTTTACTCCACAGTCTTCTTGCCTGCATTGTTTATGACCAGAAGTTGGCTATGGTCCCCATGCTTATTCTTGAACAGTTAAGGTTCCCCCACACCTGCCAGCTCCTCATCCCCAGCTTTATTCAAGATTTTCTCTTTGTCTATGGTTTTCTGCAGTTTGAACATGACAAGCCTAGGTGCAGCTTCTTGGTTGGTGTTTCCGAGCTTCCTAGATCTGTGGTTTGGAATCTCATTAATTTTGGAAAATTCTTGGCCATTATTGCGTCAGATATTTCTTTTGTTTCTTTCTCCCTTTTCCTTCTGGTATTCCAAAATGAAGATACTCTATTTTACCTTCATCTATCTCTTCCTCAGTTTCCCGCAGTTCTTAGTGCTCTGGTCCATTTTGAGATTCTCTTGCAATTCTTGGATGTCCTGTGCCCCTTTTCTTTTTTTTTTCCTTTATTCTTTCTTTTCCTCTTTGATTTTTAGTTTGGGAAGTTTCTGTTAACCTATCTGCAAGCTCACTGTCCTTGGCTACGTCTTATCTACTGATGAGCCTATGAAGCGAATTCTTTTTTTTTTTTTAAGTTTCTTTATTTCTGAGAGAGAGAGAGAGAGAGAGAGAGAGAGCATGAGCAGGGGAGGAGCAGAGAGAGGGAGACACAGAATCCAAAGCAGGCTCCAGGCTCCGAGCGTGATGTGGGGGCTCGAACCCGCAAAATGCGAGACCATGACTCCAGCTGAAGTTGGATGCTTAACCGACTGAGCCACCCAGGTACCCCCCATGAAGGGCATTCTTAAGTGTTCTTGATTTCTACCATTTCCTTTAGATTTTTTTAAAAGTTTCTAAATAACAACAAAAAAATCTATTTACATTATCCATCTATTCTTACATGTTGTCTACTTTTTTCATGAGAAACCTAATATCTTAATCATAATTATTTTAAATTTTTTGTCTGTTAATTCCAAAATCTGTGCCATATCTGAGTAGTTCTGATACTTGCTTTGTCTCTTCAGACTGTTTTTCATGCCTTTTAGCACATCTTATATTTTTTGTTGGAAGTTGGACATGATGTATTGGGTAATAGGAGCTGAGGTGAATAGGCCTTTTATGTAAGGTTTTATGTCCATTTAATGAGGAGTTGGGCTATGTTTAATGTTTGCCATAGGTGTCAGAAGCTTCAGATTTCCTCTGGTATTCTTGTCTTCCCTCTTGTCTTTGGGCTTTTCTAAGAACTCCTTAGAGTCTGTATCTTTTAGCGTATTCCATTGTTTTTACACTGGAGCCTTGTTGGTATAATGCAGAGGGGAGGAGAAGCCCTCTGTCATCTTCTGAGTAAATCTCAATTAAGTTTTAGTGGGCCTGTATCCTCAGGCCTGTGACCTTCCCAGGTCTTTCTTAACTTTTCCCCCCCATAGGCAAGATAAGAAGGCTAGAGACAGCTAGGGCCAGGGAAGTCCCCTTTCCCCACTTCAGAAAAGGCTCTGGTAAAATCTTTTTTCCCTGAAGAATAGGCCTTAATTGTAGAGAATAATCTGGGCATACTTTACAATTCTTGATCTTCTCCTCTCCTTCCCAGAGCCATGAAGGAATCTTTTTTTTTTTTTTAATTTATTTATTTTGAGAGCGTGCACACACATACACACACATGCAAGCAGGGGAGGTGAACGGAGAGGGAGAGGGAGAGAGAGAATCCCAAGCAGGTTCCATGCTGCCCTGTCAGCACAGAGCCCAACATGGGGCTTGATCTCACAAGTGTGAGATGATGACCTAAGCTGAAATCAAGAGTCAGTCACTTAACCAACTGAGCCATCCAGGAGCCCTTCTTTTTTGGTTCTTTACCAAGAAAACCTGATGGAATTCTTGGAGGGAAAACCCTCAAACGTGTTAGGAATCCCTCCTAAGATTGTGTTTCTTATTCAAGCTAGTTCATATTCAGCCTCCAGCAGTTTGTCAAAATTACCATTTAAGTGTTTCTTACCAATTTATGACTCCGGTGGCTTATTTTCCATATAGCAGATGGTGGTTGTGATTCTCTGTATTTGTCTGTTTCTCCAGATTTCAGGGTGACAGTTTGCCCTGTGAACTCTTTTGAACTCAAGAAAAGTCAGTGATTTTGGTTTATTCAGTTTTTTACTGTTGTAACAATGCGAATGAAAACTCTAAGCTCTTTACGTGTTAGAGCTAAAACCAGAAGTCTCTCAGAGGGATTAACAATGTGTCTCTTTTCCTTTTTTAATCATCTAATCACTTCTTACATATATCATGTAGATCTTTTGCTGCCCATTGTATTTTGGTAGTTTTGTCTTTATTGTAATATTATACTGTGTCATTTCCTTGTATTTGATGACCAGTCTGGGCCTTAGTCTAAATTCAGCAACATTGTTGTGAGACCTTGAGACAATTCTTCATGTTGGATTAATATATTTTTACTATTTATGAGATAAGAATGCTTATTAATATGTGATCACAAAGACCCTGTCCACTTTAAAGTACTGTCCTCCTTTAGATAATGCCTGACATAAATGCCTGTCTAATAGGTACTAACTGAAGCGTGTTTTGTGTGTGAGTCATTGGGCTAAGCCCTGCAGGGGAGACACAGCAGTGTCCCTGCTGACATTTGCCTGGCATGTTTTCCCTCTAATTATAAAGGTAATATGTGGCTTTTTGGTAGAAGATTTGGAAAATAGGAATAAGATAAGGCATCTATAACTTCATCTCATCAGAGTATGACTTAAGATTTGTCTATATATCCTCTCACACTTAAATTAAAGAAGTTAAAAATCCTGTTCTTTAGTTACTAATGTACTAATGAGTACATGAACACATTTTAAGTACTCATTAACCACAAGTGATTTGTGGCCACCTTGTCGGACAGTGTAGATATGAGCTATATTTCCATTATTGCTGAAAGTTCTATTGGATGCTGCTGTTCTACAAAAACAGTAGGATACTGAAAGATGAAAGAGTAAGAGTCATAAGTGGGAGAAATCCAAATATATAGTGAAATAAGTGGTATTACAGACATAATGGATATATTATTTCAGGTTAGAGTGGGCTGTGAGCAATGGGATTTGACCCCAGTGGCTTAAGATTTATTTTCCCATGTAAGAAATTATTGAGGGAGGCAGTCTGATGCTACTGGTAGGCTCTGAGACATTATCAGAAGCCTAGGTTCTTTCATCTTTTGGTGCTGGCATACATGGTTTCCATTCCGCAGTTACGTCTCATAGTCCAAGGTGACTGCTAAAGCTCCAGCCATTATATCTGCAGACCAGGCATCAGGAAGAAGAAAAGGAGAGAAAGCAAAAGGTACCTCTAAGCTGAGCCTATTCTCTTGAAGCAGCCTTCCTTGGCATCTCACACCAATCTTCGTCATTTGGCCTCATTCAGCTCCAAGGGAGGCTGGGACCTGTAGTCTTTTTAGCTAATGCATTGCCATCCTAAATAAATCAGAATCTGTAAATAAAGTATTGGCAGATGGATGTTGTAAGGCAAGGAGCACCTTTGGCACTGAGGTGATTACAAAGCCTCCTTTGTCCAGGTTGGTGATTTTCCTTCATTGTGGGTTTTTTTGGTGTGTTATTTGTTTGTTTTT